GAGAATTAACTTAACACCTTGCACTGAACCTGAAAATGTAGAAATTCTTCAGTTGAACAGTTATTTCGTAGAAAACAAAAGTGTTATGGATAGGATAAAGGAAAGCTTCTAAATAGATTTTCTTTGATGATTAGAAAACTAACTACAGAGAAAAAGAAAAAGAAAATTTTCAGATCAGTTAACGTTCCACATTCATAGATTCTTTGGGCATATGTTTGCTTATAATTACACTTCGTTTCCCGTTTTGCCCCCAGAATACAACATTTAAGTATGTGCCGTTTTTAAAAGTGTTTTATGGAGAAAGAGAATATATCCTCTTGAGATCATTAGAAATGAACACAAACAAAAGTGTTTTAATATTAACTTGCAATTACAGGACAGTAAAAAGCCATGTTAACTCTCCCAATCCTCTTCTTTTAATGAGATTTCGAGTGCATCCTTGAAAACATGACTAGAGGAATTATGATAACATATGCTTTGAAATCAGAAATCGAGCCTTCTGACGAAGTCTTATACAGCACTTAAAAAAGTCAGCTGCACTAAATTGTGTTGATGGAATGTTTGACATTGACAATATTAAGTTTGACGCATTAATTATTTTCGTATTGCAGTGTTACGTTTTGGTGGTTTTGATCGTGAATATTGAAAGGTATTTACTTTCATATGGATATAAAGATATATTTGATGGTGTCATGGTAAATTTATGAAGACAGCAAGATCACTTTTAATTATGTTCAGAAAATAAATTGCAGCGCAAAATAATGCTTCTCAAAACAATTTTGTAATAAGGAAAACTTATTTTAAAAATTATTTTTAAATCACTTCATTTCCAACTGTATTGAAATCGGAAAAAATGGAAGTCATATCCAGATGTGGATACTTCCAAGGAACTTTTGAACAATTTGAACAATTTGAAATCACAAGATTTTACCAAATTCAACAGCTTAAAAGCTAACGACTTTTCAACTTAACTTTATACACCAACATTCCCCATGTAAAGTCCAGGCTTTTTTGACAGCTGCTATGGAAACTCGTAAATTTACTTATCTTGTCATTCGTCATTTGCAAAATTATTTTGTTAAAAAAAAACACTCTGATTGTACACACCAGAACTCTGACGATAACATCAAAAAGATGCTTGAGTTTCTGGTTGACAATATCTATGTGGTTTTTGGAGGACAAGGTCTTCCAACAATCTATAGGAAATCCCTTGGGTACCAATTGCGCCCCGTTCTTAGCAGATACTATTTTTGTATTCACACCAAGCAGAATTTGTCAAAAATCTTATACATGAAAAGAAGAAAACACTTGCTGTGGCCATCAACTCGACATTCAGATACATCGACGACAATATTGGTAATCTAACAACCAAGCTCTATGATAAATGTAATGACTTTAACTTTTCAATCAACTTCCCTTTCTTATGCAGCAATATACCTTCATCACCTGCATACGGAGTTTATATCTCTCAGTTGATTAGATACACAATAGAATGTTCTATGTATGAACAATTCTAAAACGAGGTATATTATTGATGAAACAACACTATCAGTAGCCTCGTTTAAAGTCATCATTTTGTAAGTTCTATGGTCGATACAATGACCTTGTCAGCAGATACAATGTATCATTGAGTCAAATGCTGACGATTTTCATACTACATGTAGTTGTTAGTCCATTATTTATACACTGAATTGACGACGTATTTTTCCGTTATTTCCCCTAAAATGACAGGGAGCATACGGCGGGTGTGATCCGTCGGCAGAGGATGCTCACTCCTCAATGGCACCTGATCCCACCTCTGATGTTTTGGAGGTCCGTGTTTGCTCTGCTCCTATTTTGTATTTTTTGGAACTTTGATCTTGAATACTGTTCGTAATCTCCATATGTTTCTATTAAATGCTTGCAAATAGAAATTGAAAATATAAGTTCATATGTTCAATTTTATGATATGCAATTATCTTCAATCGATACACACAGAACTGAGAAATCAGTCAAAATGGCAATTCATATCTCAAAAATAAAATAAATATTATATACTAAATTCCTTTTTCTTCACCTATCATTATTTTAAACAAGATGTTAGCAAAACACTGATGCTGTCGTATAACAGCATATGGCAAAGGTTAAAGTTTTAAAATGAAATTCAAACTTCAAGGCAAGAGAACCCCGTGGGGATCCGGGTTAGAATAGGTCCTCAGTACCACCTTGCTTGTCGTAAAAGGCGACTAAATGGGGCGGTCGTTCGGATGAGACCGTATAAACCGAGGCCCCGTGTCACAGCAGGTGTGGTACGATAAAGATCCCTCCCTGCTCAAAGGCCGTAAGTGCCGAGCATAGGCCTAAATTTGCAGCCCTTCACCGGCAATGGTGACGTCTCCATATCAGTGAAATATTCTGGAGAGGGACGTTAAACAGTATAAAATCAATCAATCAATCAAGGCAAGAGACAAAAAAAAAAGTTGTTACCCAAAGGAAAAGGACCTGTCTTTGTGAAATGCTTTTGAAATATATGAAAGTCTATAAGCACCAACCATTCAAAACTTATGACCAAGTTTTTTTTCAAGTGTTTAAAATCCCAAATTCAAGGCTAAAGGGACAAAATTAATGGTACCCAGAGGAGGGCAATACAGTGGATTTCATTTTCTCATCTCTCTCTTTTTTGTTTTATATCTTAAATATTCCATGTAATTTTGAACAACATACAATTTATCCCCAACGATAAAAAAGAATACAATTGGAAGAAAACTGACAGTTGGCCATCAGTGAGAAGATGAGCAGCGCCTCAGGAACCTTGGACTTTGGTTGGGTAGTTTGTGTTTATCCTAAATAAAGATTGCAAAGGAAATAGAGAAAGAAAATAAAAATCGTGGATTTAAGGTAATGACTCTAAAAATTCTTGAGAGCCATGAGGAATTAGAAAACAGGGTTCTTAGTTTGCTTTTTCCGACTATGTCCTTTACTCCCCTGATTATTTTTTTTTCATTTTTCTTTTTTTTTTTCATTGCGTGAAACCTCAAAGATATCAGATTGAGATTTGTTGTCTAAAAAGGGATAATTTTTATCTCTGCTTCTCTAGTATTTTTTTCTTTTTTTCAAATTTATTAATTTTTTGTTAGTTAATGTTTTGGCTTTTATTTTGTTTTTTCTGTACTTAAATTTTTTCTTTTACAGAAATGGATTTTAAGCAGTACAACCATGAAATTTATTCATGAGATTTCAGGGTTTTGTTTTTTTTTGTGTTTATTGCTTAGAGGTATGTTTTAAGTCATCTAATAGGAAAGATAACTTTCAAAGAAAATAATTTTACGGTTGTTGAAGGTTTGATTAATTATCTTTACTTGAAAAATATTTTAAATTAAAAAAAACAAACTTCTGCTTGTTTACAAGCACATATAACAAAGTGATTTTCTGACTACTGAAAAGTATTGTGTATTATGATAAAACGTTTATTATATAAAAAATACTACATGAATATGCTTTCCAAATTTATCTCATATTCTTCACTTTACGTTGTAAAAAAAATATTACTCTATCTATTCATTAAGTAAAATTTTCTTTTTACCATGATAAGACATAGGAACACAATGCGTTTCAGAGAAAGTAAACACTGTTTTATTCATTACGTTTTTTTAATAAAGTTGTTGTTGTTGATGATGAAAATGTGTTGGAAATTATAATATTTAGAATTGCATTGAGCTTGAAGGAAAATTAAATTTAGGATTTTGTTACAAGAAAGGATGCTTTTTTTTCTTTTACTTACCAATTTTCTTACTGTTGGTTTTAGAAAAGATGCGCTTAATCCAATTTCTTTATTTTCCCTCTAAATTTCATAGACAAAGCCCATCTGTTTCATTTATTTCTAATGTATAAAGTGAATAGATCCATTTTTTCCATTCTCCAATCTGTAATTTCTGTATAACAGAGTGACATTAATTTTCTCCTGCTTACTAACTACAGGCACATTAATTTCAATTTAGTGCTGATGCAGATAGGGTGGACAACAGTTTAAGAGGACATAGAAGGATGAGTCGACATAGAGGGAAAAGATAACAGCCAGTAATGTGCCAACAATGAGAGTCTAAGACGAAGAACTTGGCAAAGAACAACCATTAAAACACGATTCGTGAGTATTGACTATTTCAGCTCTGTGTAAACAAAGAAGGATAACTCGAACAACCATTAAAACACGATTAGTGAGTATTTAACCACTTCAGCTCTGTGTAAACAAAGAAGGATAACTCTTATTTTTGAATTTATATTAGATTTTTCATGACTGATACCCCCCCCCCCCCCCATATCATGAGTTACTCTGATCCTGACCATATATCAGTGAATCTACAAAAAGTATTTACTTCCATACAACAATCCTATATAGAACATCTAACGCCACATTATTTTAACCAATCAAATATACACACATGTCCGCCCAATGCTCAGAATTTCGTGTTAAAAAGGGGAAATATTATTTTTAAAATACTAATTCAACAAATATAGTATTTGAATTTCAAATTCAATTTTATTTGGCAAAGGTTTATATTCATTTTTATAGAACAGATCAAACTTTCAAGTTTATGATTCAAATATAATTTATAACCTTTCTTTCTGCAATGTGAACATCTTAAAAGTGTTTTTAAAAAAATGTAGGCATGCATACACCCCCTACTACGAAAGCCCAGAAGGCTCATTCGAGATTCAAAATTCGAGTTTCGAAATTCAAGATTTCAAAAGCGGGTTCAACTTTTGATTACTTCCCTTTGTTACGTTTTTATTGTCAAGAATATAATATATTTATAACAAATGTATCATTTGCTAAAATGATAATGCAAGAAAAAATGTTTTATGTATTAAAACGAAATAAAATTAAAATTTGGATTACATTTTGAAAAATACATATATAATTTTATTTTTCTAATTTTACAAAATAGTAAATACGTATATATGGAATATTATATGGTCTTATCGTTGACTCTCGGAACCAGTAGGTCAACTAATTTTATTTCATCAGATCGTTGCTGATGAGTATGTTGCATTTGATTATAATTTATGAAATGTTATGAGTCCTAACAAATAATTTAGGGGTATATATTTCATTACAATTATAAAGGGTACACTTGTGCAGTGAGACTTGACTGCTGAATCAAACTGTAGCGTTATATAAGGTTTGATAAGAGTATATTTTAGTCTTTGGTCATAAAGCTATGGTTAGAGACTAAAATATAACACCATAACGCTATATAGTTCTGCATCTAATTTAGACTCATCTACTATTTGATATAAGATAAAATAAATGCCGCATTTATTCTAAACATATTGCCAAGCTGTATTGTAGATATAATTTTTAATTAATTCAAGAAATCAAAGCCTTAGATCAAGATATGTAAATGAAAACTTCTTATGCATATTTTTTTTATCAATACTACGTCGTCTTTCATGTTTCAAGTCTTTCAGTGTGTTTGGAAAAATAGGCAAAAGTATTGTTAATCTTTAGACACTTGATTTAACTTATAAATATGTCATCAACCCCGTAAACAAAGTAGACAATACAAAAATATATATATTTCTGATAATGTAATTTATTTAAGAAGCCATTATAAATTGAAGTATATCTTGCTGATCAAAAATCCAATGATTATTTAAATTTCCTTCTAATATATATAACACTCCTTCTTGCATTGTAATTTAATTGAATGGCCTATTTGTTATTTATATATTAAACGATTTCTTGATAGTAAAATCATAATAAAGGGAAGTAATCAAATCTTGAACCCGCTTTTGATTGGTTAATCTGGATCTGTTTCGAATGTCGAATCTCGAATTTTGATATATTTCGAATCTTGAATCAATTTCTGGGCTTTCGTACCCTACTGTCATTTTCCAAGTAATACTGATAAAAATGCTTTGATACCTAAAAACTATCACGAAAATTAAATAAGAAAGGGGGTGAAAAAACTAGATGATTGAATATTGATTCAAACAATGCAAAAAATTTCACAACCTGATTTTCAAAATATATACAGCTTTAAACCGTTTTAAACAAAAGTAAAATTTTGCAATGATTCAAAAATTTTATTTCTGTCACATCTTAAAAGTGTAGATAATAACTTTAGAACACGCTGTTTACGTTCATACTGACATTTTTTGTAATATTGACAAAGATATACGGTAATCTGGTTTTACAAACTTAGAAAAATTTTAATGGGGAAAATACCCAGTGACAATTAATCTCAGTTAGTGAAAGATTTATTTAAGCAATGCAAATATATGCTTGATGTGAAAAAAGGTGCATTGATAAGGACTGTATAAACTTAATGGTTCTGGTACCTCCATAGTAGGTATCGAAACATATCATTCTCTTTTGGCATTGACACCAAAATATTCATACACATCAACCAAAAAAATGCTAAAAATAATTAAACTATTAAGGTAAAAAGGATGTAAATGAAATCTGACAATGAATAAAAAAGATGATAATAATGAGTACATTTCGTTTTGGATTTGAGCAGTCAACAAATTGTAGAAAATCTTTCGTTTTTATTTCAGTTATAAATATATGAACATACTTTACCAAAATCTCAACTGAAAGTCTTTCTTGTCAAATCATGTTTTAAAAGATCCTGGATCTATGAATATTTGTATACAGTTTCATAAAAATTTATAATTATGATTTTTATCTGATTATTTTATTATCAATGTTTATGTACATTTGTCTGAATTTTTCAAAAGAATTTTCAAAGATGTTTTAGAAATATTTTCTTGCGATTGCTAACAGCTTTGTTTTTCTTTCATGATCTTTTCTTAAGTGAAAGATTGTTATATGTATACTTTGGTATATAGTCGTTTGGTTCAAATATTTTTTGTAGTTGCCTTGAGTAAATCCAAGATCTCAAACTTAAATATTGACACAATAAATGAAAAATAGTAGAAACATTTATAAGTACCCTTCATGTTTGCAAAAATACATGTAAATAAGTAATTTTGAAAGGTGTTCCTGTGTAATGTTTATTTTTTCTTTATATTTTGTGAATATGGCGAAAATTCGACAGATGCAGTACAACATTTGTTTTATTTAAAATGGATATTTTCAATATTCAACAAAAAACGTAAACAGACAATAATGAAAGAGGTATAAAAATAAAGGAAAGACTTTACAATAAAATAACAGGAGGTGAAATCAGTGCATGATGTAACATGTAAAAACTGTAAGCCATATCACATCAGCCGAGGAATGTAGAAAAATTGCCGTGTCTTTCAGAGGTTTTGATTCTATTTTCGTTGTTTGGTTGTTGGCTCCTGAAATGCAAAGGTACATTGTATTTACATATATCCGATAAAAACGTCATTCTTACATTGCAAAGATTTCTCTTTCACTAATTCACAATTTTCAAATACCAATGAGTACATGACCAATTAGTACTCATTTTTTCTAACTTTCAATAAGAAGTTATTTCTCTATGCTTTTCGAAAAAATAGATTTTAAGTATCAGCATTGATGTTAAAATTTTCTGGACAAACAATGTTTTAAAGTTAAACAACTAAATTCCAATGATACCTCTTTTTCACTTTCAGACACAAGTTGTTGCATATCTGTTTGTAGGTTTTTTTTTTGTTTTTTTTTTTTTACCTAAAAATTGTCTTATTATAAAAATTGCTGGAATTCTCATATATCTACAGAAGTCAAATAAAGAAATCAAAACTAAATAATACAAAATAATTTGATAAAAAACAAAATCATTAAATTCAAACAAAATTAAAAAAAAAATAATAAATAAAAATTGAAAAATTACTTTTCCCGAAGTATTGATGCATGAATACCTTTTAGGAAACAATTTAACCGTCCACAATAGTATAGTTACCAATTTGATAAATAACATGAAAATGCAAATGTGAATAACAAATTTAACAGCTGTTTTGTCGTCAAATAAACAAAAAACTTGTGTTTTTAACACTTGAAGTTTCAGTATATGAAAGTCCCAACCCCCTGACCTGTGTTGACCTTCAGGTAAATAAAAATTAATATATATTAAATACTGCATTAGTTTTACAAATGTTTGGAAAAGCTCAGTTTTCCGTGGGATTAATTGCAATGTCATTTACAATACCTTTAAATACAATATGTTTCGATTGCAATGAAATTTGTGTATAAAGGAAGCCTGAAGAGGAAGATGCCTACCTCTTTTCACGTTGTATGTTCCTGCTACAAAATAAAAAAATAGTTAACTTAGCAAATTTTTCAAATAAAAGCAATTCAAATTGGCACTTTGAAATCATAATTTACTAAAGTTATTAATAGTTTCTGAACTTACAATTAAATAGAATGTTAATGTTCATAAATCTGCTTTATGCTTTTCGTTCTAAGTAATCGGAGTACAAGTCCTTTCAAAGGCAGATAGCAATGTTAAAATTAAACAAACTTTTCATTGCTTATAACATTGTCCAAAAATTGTATTTTTTAAAAAACCACATTTTGACCCAAACATAGAACCTTCGTTTAACTGAAATCCTGAAATTCATATTTTTATCCTCTTTATCATATATAGTATGTTGTGAGCCCCTGAAAATAGTACTATATATCATTATATTATCAGGAAATTTAAATCATATTTGAAAATTGATTGATACCTAAACCAAAGTGCCCAAAATGCATCTAAGCCTACAAACCTATGAAAATTCAAGAGGGACATGGTGCTTCTTAGTACATTAAGATGAAATGGGAGATAAAATGAGAGATTCCCCCTACATGGTAACCTAACATTAATTGTTATCAATTTCATTAAGATTGTTATGAAATATTCATATTTATAACCTTTACAAGATTTTCCTTCTGTGCAGTTATTCTTCGTTCCACTGAATTCAAACATTAATAATTTGCTTTATCACCTTCAGTACAAAATACATACCATTCAGGACATCTACACGCATTCCTATGGTTAACTGACTAGATGTCCGGCAGACGTAGGTACCTGTGTCCTTCAAAGTTGCATTTGAAATATTAACTGCGCTGCTAAGAGTCTTTGTATGTAAAGATACCCGAGAAGTGATAAGGATACGCCTCCTTGGATCCGTGTATAATTTATTGCCATCTAGAAACCAGTCAATGTGATCTGGAGGATAATCGTTCCCCGTGGCATTACATTCAACGTATATAGACTCCCCTTTTGTAACAAATCTGGTGCCACCAACTTTTATGCCTAAAATAATACAATTTTAAAATCAAATTCGTACTTTGGAATCTCTTCTCTGAAAGAAAAATATCAAAATATTTAATAACCGATTTTTCTGAACATATTCTTATAGCTTAAAATTTTAGCTAAAGCTCAATATTCTGTTCTTTTTAAATATGACCTTCACTTTCCAAAAAAAAGATTAAAAATTAGTATATTAGAATTGTTAATATCTTCTTATATAACTCCATTTGTCAAATAAGAAAGTAGTAGGTGGCGTTAAAAAAAATTGTTTTAACCATTATATAACTGAAATCCTCTACAAAATCCACTTTCCAAGAACTCCTCAGACTTCTGTGTCCGAGTCCTCTATTGGGCTTTAAAAGGAGGTGATGTTCTATAGATGTACATTAATGATTTGGAATTTTGTCCTTAGGACTAAATAAGGGTAAAATAAATATCTTTAATGAAAATTTGATTTTCAAAACTTCTGTTGCATTTTATGCAGTCGTCATTTTTTATCTTTTCTGCTTGCAACAGTTGGATTTTAATTTTTAATTTTTATAACCAAAGGTACATTTTTTTTTTTTTTTTTTTTAAAAAATCTTTCCTCTATCCAGGAGCAAATAAATTAAAAGTAATATACGCTTGTGAATATGTCATATAATTTTTCCCAATAATTGAACAAGTGATGTAGTTTGAAAAAGGATTGAATTGATGATAGATTGTGTACATGAAATGTACGACTATCAATGAAATATAGCGAGATAATGAACAGCTAATATCCGAGCTCAAAAGTCCATTTAACAATACGATGCAAATCAAGGGCAGAGCAAACACAGACCTCTAATATAAGAACTATTTTGGCACCATACGAAGCATGTAGAAGATGCTGGGATTTTTTTTGCATCAGTTATTTAAAAAACATACAAAAAGACAATGGACCAAATCCAAGAAAACCCTTGTTAAGTTTGGTAAGTAGAATCATACAGAGATTAAATGAAAAAATCACCCATTTCCAACCCTTAGAAAAAAAACTTTTTAAAAATATTTTTCAAGGGGTGGGGTGTATAGCAAGACAAAAAATTGATAATTTAAAGGGGGCTGGAACATTGCCACACCCCTCATCAATACCCCCTAATCCCCAAAAAGAAAGAAATCCTATATTCACAGATGAAGAACAACATAAAGACTCTAGAGAAATAAGATAATGGGAGATCTAGAAACATCGTAACATCTGACTATATGAAGATGAGACTTCTGTTCTGATACTAAACGTTAATTGAAAAGGTATGGACGGTTATTACCTAAGTAGTTTATTGAAAACTAAGTGTCAGCATGAACACATTTCTGTTAGATAGCTGGCTTAATTTCTGCTGTGATGATCAAAGGAATTAAATGCGTGTTACATAACTTGCAACATCACACACTATCAATCTATGTATTTAGGGATAAAATCAACATTATAAATATTTATTCGATCATTATCGGATATTCCCAAAACGCAACCTGCTGAATAAAATCAGATCCAATCATATACAAGATGTTGTCATAAAGCAATAAAACCGTGACGCAAGTGGTTGCCTCTAAAAATTATCTTTTGTATTAAGTAACTCGTAAAAAAGTAACATTCCATTATTAACACAACTCAGCATTGTCACATTAAGTATAAAATGCTCAGATGAGTATGCGGCCCTTAGTTATTATATCAGCATTTCATACAATGAATTTTTTTATCAGTCTAAAACTTTAATGAAGTATAAAATCAATAAAAGAAGCTTTAGGAAGTTTTTTGTTTCATATTTCATTTTCAATATTTTATAGATTTTTGAATAGAAAAAGTTTTTATTGCTTATCAGTTATTGACTGGACATTGTATTAAGTGTTCTGAACCATTTTTTTATTGATTTTTTTCCTGATCTCAAATTGACAAAAGGTGAATGTAAGATTCCCAATTAAAATGTATCTTAAGCATATCAGCAATAGTCATCCAAAAAACGATTATCTATTTAGAATACATAATCAATACATTTTAAAAATGATTGATTGAATGATTGATTGATTGATTAATATTGTATGTTGTTTACATCCCATTCGAGAAGTTTCACTCATGCAGAGACGCCATGGTATAGGGCTTCAAATGTTGACCTTTACTCGGCATTCAGGGTCATTGAGCTGTGAGAGATCTTTATCGTTCCAACGCCTGCCGTGACACGGGATCTCGGTTTTTAAGGCCTCATCCGAAGAAAAAGGTGTTTTCACTTTAAGTGCCAAGCGCATGGCGAAGGAACATTTGCTACCATTTTTGAAATAAATTCTGTCCAATTCAGAAACCGCATTTCACAATTACAGGACACAGGTGATTGTATTCCACCTGATAAACTGACCAATGCTTAACTTGCAAGAGGAGTTTCAGGAATAGGATTCAGTAGAATAACGTCATTTATGACCGCCGATTTGCTCTTGAAGTGAGAATTTAGATGAAACAACATTGTTGTGCATCAGTGGGTTGCCATTAATCATATTCCAAAAGATTATTTAATATAGGTTTTAAATTTAAGAGAAATTTAATTTTTTATTAATAAGGAACAAAGAAAAATTAAGAAACCTTACTGTTCATCTTCAGGATCCAAATTATCTTAAACCAAAAGCTGAATTGACTACTATTTTCAAAAAAATGTAAGAGGAGTTTTAAGAAAGAAATTCTTAAAAATCATGTTTTCAACCCCAAACTCTCTTCCTGAACAAAATTATGAAAAACTGCCTAAAATTTCAAAGCAGTAGGGTGAAAAATGAAAAGTAAATTGATGCCTTTATTCAGGTATACTAAAATCGGAACACTGAATATTTGCTTCAATTAACAATCATATGGAGACACCGGTGGAGAGCTGCAAATTTTGTGTATTACTCAATATCCTGTATAGTACACGATTTAATTGATTGTATGTTGTTTAACGACCCTAGAGCAGGCGCTCTAACTCGCTAAATTAACATTTGGAGTTTTTCTAGAGAAAGTATTCTTACTTGGACTTGTATTTATTGACTTCTGATATTAAACCTTAATTGAAAAGGTGTGGACGGTTGTTACCTAGGCAGTTTATTTTGAATCACGTGTCAGCATGAACATATTTCTGATAGATGGCTGACTTTGTTACTGCTGTGATGATCAAAGGAATTAAATGCGTGTTACATAACTTACAATATCACACACTATAATTTAATGTATTTAGGGATGAAATCAACATTATAAATATTTATTCGATCATTGTCGGATATTCCCAAAACGCAACTTGCTGAATAAAATCACATCCAATCACATACGAGGGCTGTTCAATAAATAATGTCTGAACTATATAACATACATTACAGATATCATTTGACATTAAACTTGACTTTCTCTCATTATTGAATCTTTCATGAATTAATAACAGTTTATGTGACCACTTTTCATCACATAGTTTCAACGTGAGAAGCTGGGAAACAAGGGCTTTTCGAGACACTGCATTATAAATGAATGGTAAAGAATCAGTAAACTAGAGTGAAAATAAAAGCTTCATTATAGCTGTCGTTAAACTTGTTAAAAATCCCAAAGAAATATTCACTGAAATATATGACACTTACAGCAACCGATGCCTGTTTTATAGACAAAAGAGCAGGTAAATTTCAATGATCAAAAATTATGTAATGGGCATCAAAAATGGGTACCCTCTTTGCCAACAAAAATTATAACAACTTATGTACTGGTTGCCAAATTTCAACAAATAATATTTGATGATGTATGATTGACTTTAAGACACATAGCAAATTTGATAGACATCATATCGGGAGCAGTTTACACTGTTTTTTAGAAACGTTTGACGGCAAAAAAGCTTGGTACTCAAAGGTCACCCTATATTTTGAAAAATGAGTGAAAACGACAGCGTATACGAAATTCTTAACAATTATTTTAAAATATCAGTAATTTTAGTTATCCACGTTTGTTTTATTTTTAAATAGATATTGGAACATGAATCTATTGATTAAAACCCTCAAAACAAAATTTACCATAAAATCTACTTGATAAAAACAGCGAATTATTGATTCAGAGCATAGAGACAGATTTATATGTAAATTTCTTAAAAATTCGTGGTATTGTTGTTCAAATTCGTATTCGGAGAGACAGTTTAATTTCTGTTACATAACTTTTTTTGCAAAAAAATCAAAAGGTTTATTAGAGGAAGGACACACACTACATTGAATTTCTTCAATGTATTTAAAGGGGTTTTCGAAATTAATGTTTTTTCACATTAACAATTAAATTTTTACCTTTTGACTTGTTTCTATTTTCAAACTTGAAAAAAACAGCTTTCAGAGGGAAGAAACAAGTCCGGGAAATCATTGGATGCCATTTTCCAGTATACAATACCCAAAAATGAGTTCTAACAACAATCAGAAATTGGATAAAAAATGTTAATTTTATTAAAAGAGATTAATTAGTAAAATCATGAAGACTAAAACATTGAAAAGCGTCTTTTGCTTCTTTCTGAGCACCGAGGACATTATTTATTGAACAGCCCTCGTACAAGATGTTGTCATAAAGCAATAAAACCGTGACGCAAGTGGTTGCCTTTAAAAATTCTCTTTTGTATTTAGTTACTCATAAAAAAGTAACACTCCATCATTAACACAATTAACCATTATTACATTAAGTATAAAATGCTCAGATGAGTATGTGGCCCCTAGTTCTCTTATGTTAGCATTTCATACAATGAATTTTTTTATCAGTCTAAAACCTTGATGAAGTCTAAAATTTATCAAAGAAGCTTTAGGAAGAGGTTTTTATTGTTTCAAAAACCATTATTAATATCTCATAGATTTCTGAATAGAGAAAAAGTTTTTATTGGTTATCGATTGTTGATTGGACATTGTATTAAGTGTTCTGAACCATTTTTTCTATTGATTTTTTTTTCTGATCTCAAATTGTCAAAATGTGAATGTAAGATTCCTAATTAAACTGTATCGTAAGCATATCAGTAACAGTCATTCAGTTATCTATTTAGGATACATCATCAATTACATATAAAAAAAAATGATTGATTGATTGATTGATTGATTGATTGTATGTTGTTTACGTCCCATTCGAGAAATTTTCACTCCTGCAGAGACCTCACCATGAAGGGCTTCAAATGTTGAACTTTAATGGCATTCAGGGCCATTGAGCAGTGAGGGATCTTTATCGTGCCAACGCCTGTCGTGACACGGGACCTTGGATTTTAAGGACTCATTCGGAGGATATGCAACTTTAACTTTAAGTGCCCATCGCATTTTTTAAAATGAATTTCGTCCACTGGAAAAATAAAAGAGTAGTTCTTGAAACTTGGTTCTTGTCCCTGGGTGTAAAGAAATAAATTCCGAAGCTTCATAGCACAATAACAGGACACAGATTATTGTGTTCCACAGGATAAATTTACTACTGATTAGCTTCTAGAGGAGTTTCAGGTATAGGATTTTGTAGAAAAGCTTCATTCTATACCGCAAATTTGTCCCTGAAGTGAGAATTTAGATTAAACAGCCTTATTGTGCATCAATGGGATGCCATGCATCATATTCAAAAAGATGACATGATACAGATTTTAAATGTAAGAGAAATTTTTTTCAAAGAAAAGAAGTTTTTCGATTCCCAATTGTTCCAAAGGAGGCAATATAAATTCTGAAACCTTACGGCTCATCTTCAGGACCCTAACAGTTTTAAACAAAAACCCAAAGGACCCAAACAGTCTTTAACAAAAAATTGAATTGACTACCGGTACTTTTAAAAAATAATGCAAGAGGGGTTTGAGATAGGAAATTCTCATAAAAAAACATAAGTTTTTCAACCCCCAATTCTCTCCTAGAATGACTCAAAATTATGAGGATATTTTCTGTTGAAAAGTTCAGACGAAAAGGAGAAAAAAGAAAATGTAATTTGCTGCGTTTATTCGTGTACTGAATTCAGAACACTGAATAATTATTTTTACATGCCTGTTTAAGGGTAATGTTAAAATTCTATAGAAGTTTTTTTTTTTTTTTTTTTTTATTTTTTTTTTTTTTTGATTTCATGTAGAGTGAAGAAACGCTAGAAATAAAATTTTAAGTTCTTGTAAAGAAAGAACTCTTACCTGGATTTGTATCTATTGACTCTTCTGAAAAATAAAATATTAGAGAATGAATAAAACAGAAAAACAGAATTATAGTTTTTAAGGATTTTTTATTACTATATAATTATACCTGCCATGAAAAATAAATTAATTGTGAAATCAAGAACTTTGGACTTAGATATTTAGCCTAGCAGCTAGGCTATGATTTTAAACACGGCTCTTGTACTATTAAATTATAACAAACTAGCCTAGCGACTAAGCTTATCCCTATAATTTTGAACATAGCGTCTGTTATCATAAGCTATAGCAATCTAGCCTGATAGTAAGACTAGCAGCTATGATCTTCAATGTAGCCTTGGTATAATCAGCTATCACACTCAAATTCCTTGATTTTTGGACGTTTTTCTCTTTAAGGATCATATTTCATGCATTGAAAAGAGAAAAAAAAATGGGATCGTTAGACGACCATAGATATCTACCTATGACATTTAATGTGACTTTTTGTCGAAGTTGCTGACGATGTTTGAGGCTAAGTTGACATTCGTAAGTTCCACTGTCTTGAAGTCTGGTATTTCTGATGTATAAATTCCACTGTTTACTAAGAGGATCATGTTGACTGGCAAACCTCGTGTCTGTCACGAATCTTTTAGCTCCAGATATGATAGGTGTTATATAAGGCATTTTTCTCCATGTGACCTGAGATGTTAACTGTATTTTAACATAAGACAATAAGAAGCTATGGAAAATCTTACATATCGTTGTAAGATCTATAGATGGCAGAAACAGATTGAGAAAATATATTGTTGCTTCTTCCAGTTAACCAGTTACAAATGAAAATATATGTAGAGAAAACACTAACTGTCTTTTGACAATATATAGTTTGATTGATTTAAGAAGTATCTTATTAAAATCAGACTCTATAGATCCGCGCCGTATGCATTCTGGGACAAGAGAGTATATGGCGCGGATATAGGAAGTCTGTTTTTAATTAGATTGTATGTAGAGCTCACATGTAACATTCTTTCTTTGTAATTTTTCAGAATGCAACATATGATATTCATATACGTACATGTCTTGTACCGAGGTTAGCAACAGCGCACTTCAAAATGGCTGGAGATCCACGTTCTACCGTTACGTTTTCAGGAGTGCTGAGAAAGTAGGGATCAGGAGCCAAATCCTGCCAACCTGCAAAACACATTATTCCGATATAATGTATTATACAAATGTACAAGAGGACTTGTTTGAAATCTCCACCTACACGTTTTGAGCAAATTATCTTTAACCGAATTTCTTACTTCTTTGATTTATAACCAAGTCTTTTTAAACTGCCTGAAAAACGTTGTTTCATGAATCTAATATATTAACATTTAATGGAAAATGATACCTTCGTTTCCAAAATTGTTATTTCAATAAGAATTTAAACCATTGTAAATAAAATTGCCAGGAAATATAAATAGTTATTTGATATAAATTGTGCATATCTAAATTGTGATTTTGAAGAGGTGGGTTTAATACACAGCATAACTAATATCAATCTGTTCGCTGGGGATTTTTTTGATAAACCAATGCAATATTAAGTTACAAATAATTAACTCTTTACATCTCTATTCTTGTGATTTGCATATGATGAACAAACATGTAATCCACCCACAAACGTTTTAAAGAAAATTTAATTCAGCAACAATTTCATCAAAGCCCATGGGTCTTTAGGTCAAATGACGATGGTTCAGACATTTTTACCTTGGATTTTTTCTGGTCTCCTGATATTAAAAATTCCTTTTGTTATAGTAAACTTGAAACAATAGCTTATAATTTTTGCTCTTAAAAAAGTAATAAAATGACATTAATTTTAAACAAAATGTATAAAAAGAAGTTTAGGGACGACTTCCTTATACTGAACTTCTACGAATGACCTCATTGTTACAAAGAATGAAATACGGAGATCAAACGGTAATCAATCTCAAATTCCATTATAACAATATAAATCGAAATCAGAGCACACACAAACCTCTAAAGACATCAGAGGTGGGATCAGGTGCCATGAGAAAGTAAACATCCCCATGTCACATACACCCACTCTGTGCTCCTTGTCTTGGTCGGAAAAGTAAAAATAAAATCCGTAGACAGTTCAGCGTGTAAATAGTTACCTCTTTTGCGTATCAATTCAACCAAGAGACGTAAACCCAATATGTAATTATGAAGGGCATTTTGCTGCTTAAATAAGGGAAGTTGTCATAAAGATTTCCTGTTAGGTAACTATTGACGTCTTTTCTAGTACATTCAAATATGAAATCGATGTGTCAGACTAGGTCGTATCTTATATTTTAGATTCACTGAGATATGTCGAGTCGACATATGAATGGAATGCTAGTAAAATAATTATAGATAATACGTCGTCGAAATATCTTGATGTCGAATTGAAGGCCGTGGAGTTTTTTTCCTCTCATATTTAAGTTTTAGAATGAATTCTGTGTTAAGTCAGTATTTATAAACTTTTATCCTTACATGGTAACGTCCAAGGACTGTATTAGATCCTGAATAGTATAAACCTAAATCTATCATTTAGTCCACCCCAATGTTGACCGACATTTTTGCATACAAATTGTTCGGCGATTATTTCACACTGAGTTGTCCACAGACTTTTCCGTTTGTCCAGTAATGACGAGGGGTATCGGTTAACAGGGGATGCTTAATTCTCTATGGCTCTTTATCCCACCTCTGATGTTTGCCCTGCTCCAGTTTTGTATTGTTTCAATGACCTCTTGAGCTTTATTACAGATCGTTATTTTCATTTTTCATCCTAAAACCTTTTTGGCAGATGCTATATTACTCTTATACATGAGAGTATAAGGTTAATGGAAAATTTCTGCTAAAGCAATCATGGCATGATGTAAGATTAAATTAATACTATATCTAGAAAATCTGACATAGATACGAAACTAACACATACAGAACTTTCCAAGCCACCTATTGGCGTTAACATATTCACCATAACAGTGAAATAACGCTTTATTTTTGACACGAAAACATTCTCGATTTCATCCAAACAGCCCATCTGGACAATGCCGAAAAGCCATTATAGCTAGGTCGATGACGTTTTTGCATCAAAATATTGCGTGATATCATTATTATATCTGAACTTACTTAAGTCTGTTCTTTTCCTAATTCTTTCCTGGTAAAGATCTACAGTGGTTGTGGTTTGAAAGTTTTTGTTTTTGGGTACATGCTGATCAGAGCGATTTTTTTTCAAGTAAAGTTTGAGGAAATGATTTCTAATAAAAAGGTTATAAAGCATTGAAACGAAAATTCATTTAGTATTACACCCCATCTCCCCAGCTATAGACCCATCCCGATTCCACTCATTTGTACCATAAAATATTTCTAATTTCAGGCTTTAAGAGATCGGTGTTGTAGCTGCTAAACTGTGGCTCTCCGAAAAGTAATTATTTCTGGTTGTCCATCACATTTTTTCAAACCAGCGACCTACTGATCAACAGCTAAATTGGAGTGAGAATTAAAAAGCATGGTGATAATTTATAGATGCACATGTTTTGATTTCCCTCGGTATTTAAAGGTCTACGAATTATCACAAAAACGGATTCAACCTATAGTCACCGTAATATACAATCAAAATGTTGTTGCCATTTCTGTTTTGGGAATTTTGGGTCTCGGAATTTTACGAAAACGAGATTTTGAATTGTATCTTTTTGACAGATAACATTCTCTGATTTACAAAAAAACATTTCAACATATATTTTTTTAATCTAATTTATTTTTTGCATTGTCTTCGTTTTAAATCGTATATAATTAAATATTTTTTTATTAAATTGGTTTTATTTGTGCATTATCATTTATATTTGTCTGACACATCTGTTTCATATTTGGATATTTTACTTTAAAAAGACGTTAATGGTAATCTAAAAACCAAGCTCTATGATAAACGTGATGTCTTTAACTTTTCAATCGTCAACTTCCCTTACTTATGCAGCAATATACCTTCATCACCCGCAAACAGTTTTTATCAAACAGTTGATTCGATACACAAGAGCATGTTCTACGTATGTACAATTTCTAAAACGAGGTAAATTGTTGACAAACAAGTTGATGAAACAAGAAAATCACCAGCCCCGTTTAAAGTCATCATTTTGTAAGTTCTATGGTTGATACAATGACATTGTCAGTTGATCATTGATTTAAATGCTGACTGACGTTTTTCATATTAATTGTTAGTCCATTATTTACAATATATAAAAAATGACGAAAAAAAACTTGTTAAAATTTCACCAGAAAATGCATGAAAAAATACGAGCACACCGTGGGTGTGAAAAAATACATTGATTATCTAGGGTTTTTTGTTTAAATTATATAATTCATTGTTGAAAATACTTTGCTTTGTGCTTCTATGGTTAAATCAGAAATTTAATTGTTATGTAAATCAATTTGTCTGTTTTTCTGCATTTAAGTTAAATATATGTCACAATTACTTTGCGTTATAATGGGACCACAATATTTATTGGTTAAGTTATCACAATTTTTTTAATATTTTTTTATTAATATAGGAATTTTTTGATATTTTGTTAAGGTCAAAGTGACTCAGTGGTCATTGTGGTCCACGTGCCACTTGTTCTAGAAAACATAGCTTCTTAATCGAGGTCAAGCCAAAGTTGCGCATTGATGTTATCATTTATTAATGATAGAATTGCAGTGATCAGACGTAAAAATTAACAAAAGAACTTATTCCCAACTGTATGTGAGGGCACATTTTTGTTATCATAAACAAATCCCCCTATCTCATAAATCAGAATGTTCCACATAAATGCCATCTTCACTTATGTTATAGCACTGCAACAGCAACGTGTTCTTTCGCGTACATCTTTATGATTATAGTTCTTTGCCACCATACTTGTTCTGGGTTGTTTTATCTAAGAGATAGTGCAAACCAAAGGGCACATGCAATTAACAACAATTCTTTTCAAACTCTATCTACTGCTATAAGTTCTGTCAGCTAGGGTTGACGCTCGACGCTTCTGTTAGTACATATGGAACGCCAAATTAACATATATTATTCAAATATTTCAACCTGTCTTCAAATCAATTGTACCTATCTTCAAATCAATTGTACCTATCTTTAAATAAATTAAAGATGGATTTGATTCAATTACACCTTCTTTAATTTATTTGAAGATATGTGTAATTGATTAAAAGATACTGAAGATAGGTACAAATGCCACGAATTGATAAGTAAAATTAATTTAAAGATAGGTACAATTGAATTGAATCTTTAATTGTAAAGATACTGACAATTACAACTTCCATTACTTTCAAGTTTCCCGCGTGTTCAATTCGGTGTTTGAGGGAGCTTTCATTCCTTTCAGGTCGCCCGCGTGGCGCAGTGGTTAAGGAGAGTCGCGAAGTAAGGAGTTGATCCTTACGTCGCGGGTTCGAATCCCGCGTGGGACGTGGAGACCGGTCCTTCGGATGAGACCGTATAAACCGAGGTCCCGTGTCGCAGTAGGTACTGGCACGAAAAAGATCCCACTCTGCTCAATGGCCTTGAGTGCCGAGTATAGGACAAAATTTGCAGCTCTCCATCGGCAAGTGGTGGCGTCTCTATATGAGTGAAAATTTATCTTTAAAAAAAGAGAGCTAGCGCCGTAGCAATTTTTAAACAATATACAATCAATCAATCAATCATTACTTTCAATAACAGAAAAAGAATATAACCTACGTATAATTGAATTAAACCTTTCTTAAAATCCTTTGTTGATATGTTTCAAATGTATCTATCATCATATCAACTGTACTTATCTTTAAATGAATTGAAGATAGGTAAAATTCAATTGAATTTATCTTTAAAGAATTGAAGATGGGAATATATAATTCAATTGAACATATCTTTAACTGAATTAAAGATACATGTAGGTGCACTTTATCTAAACCTAGCTTTTATTATTTAGAGAAAAGTATATTATTTAGACCTATTTTAAATTCAATTGTACCTATCTTCAATTCATTTACAGATAGTTACAAGTATTTGAAGATAGGTACAATTATTTAAAAATAGGTTCAAATATTTGAATATATGTTAATTTGGCGTTCCATATGTACGTGTTCGTCTACAGTTGCTTCGGGCTAAAAACAAGTCAATACAATGACAAGACAGTGCTGAATTGTGAGACTGTTGGATACAATGGTGTCTATATACAGAGCATTAGCACAGAGTTATAACCGTAAAAATAAAGTAGAAAACTGTGGCGCAAAAACTGAAGGCGTTAAACAATATACAATCAATCAATCATTACTTTCAATAGCAGAAAAATAATCTTACCTACGTATAATTGAATTAAACCTTTCTTCAAATCCTTTGTTGAAATGTTTCAATTTATCATAAATCAACTAGGGTTTCTTTAAATGAATTCGATATATCATAAATCCTGTCTTTAAAGAATGTTTTGACAACTGGCATACCTTCAATTGAATTAAAAATACATGTAGGTGTACTTTATTTAAACCTTTTATTATTGCACACAAAGGATATTAATACTTTTTTAAATTTAATTGTACCCCTAATTCATTCAAAAGCGGGAGGGTATTTAAAAATAGGTTCAAATCTTTGACTATATGTTAATTTGGCGTTCCATATGTACGTGTTCTTCTGCAGTGTGCTTCGGGCTAAAAGCAAGTCAATATAGAATGCTGTTACGCTTTGGGGTACCCATCTCTTATCCGCAACTCCTCTCATACCACCGAAGGAAATTTAATGAAACTTTCATAAAATATTTATTACATATTGCCATTGTACACCTCCTATTTTACTTTTTGATCTGACATATATTTTGGATTTTTCAGATAAATCATGGACACTGCCATTTTATTCATATGGGAGGCGGGGGGATCATTTAGTGATATATTGCTCAAAGTACCTCTTTTTAAAAAAAAAAAGAATGAAGGGTTAAAATGACTCAGGTGAGCATTGTGGTCCATAATGTCTTTTCACAAATTTTATTTAAAAATAAAATTTATAACCGTTATCGAGGTCAAGCAAAAGTTGTACATCGGCGTAATCATTTATTAATGATAGAAATAGTTATTAATGACAGAAAATACAGTTATTATAGATAACTTTTTTCTCTCTATTCTATTCCCAACTGTACGTGAGGTCATATTTTTTGCTATAATAAACAAATCCCCTATCTAATAAATCAGAATGTTCCACATAAATGTCATATTCATTTGTTTTCTTGGAGAGTTACAGCAACATGTTTCTTCGCCTACATCTCGATTATTATAATTCTTTGCCACCATACTCGTTTGGGTTGTTTTATCTCAAACAAAAGGACACTTGCAATTAACAACAATTCTTTTCATACTCTATCACTTGCTGTACTTCTGTCAGTAAGGGTCAACGCCCAAAGCTTGTTCATGGGCTTGAGGTGGGGATTTACCGTACATGTAGGTCTTATTGAGTTGTTAAAAGTGTGTTTAGGAGCGTATTATGTAACTGTAAAATAAAGAACAGTTAAGAGACTGTTGAATACAGAAGAGGACTTTAGAGACAGAGCATAAGCGCAGGGCCATACCGTGAATATACTGTAGATAACAGTGGTTAAATCAAAGTTGACCTAAATTTATTACAATTGGAAATTGATTTTGCCAACGAATGAAGAATTTGTCTCGGCACTTTCTAAACATTGACAGTCTAAGTCTGATATATAAATCATGATGTACATTTTCGTCAACTTCTGGCCGAGGAGACAGTTGGTATGCAGCGGAATCCTGGAAGTCGCCAAAATGCGCGTCACTCGTACTGAACATCAAGATATGTTTTTCTTTAAACGGGGTGCATCAAGAATGATAATAGTGATAACTTCCAGATGCTAACCACTAAGGAGCCTAGTTGCACACAGATTACAAGATATAATTTTTTTTACTTATCATGATGCCGACTGCTTAAGTATTGTGACATAATATTAATGTCACTGATAATTTTCCCAAGAGTATACAGATTTAGTGATATGCATCATTTTGTCGTGTGTTTAACTACCTTAAAGTTCAATGAATATTTTAGATAGTTTCAATGTATAAATTTTATGTTTTATCAGTAAAGTTATTACTGAAAAAAATCAAGAGCAAAATTTTTCAGAAGTGGATGATAGTGAGATAGTAAAAAGTAAGTGTGTGTAGTACTAAGAAAATCGGGAAGGGGGTGGGTTAGTACGAACTTTTTATCGAAGACTGAATACCCTTCACCTCAATAATTCGTACATAAAAGAATGGATGAGAGAATAAAGTATACGTATTTATAGCTCATTTTAAGGATGGTAGGTCTTAACCCTACAACTTTCACCAGGAGGGAGTCAAGCAGGGAATCACAAAACTTAGGTTGACCCCTTTGCGCCAGAATTGTTTGTGCTCTTTGTCGGAAACCAACGTTTTGACTACGTTTCGTTTCTTTTCTTCATCACCCAATGACGGAGAGAGAAACGTAGCGTAATCAACCGTGAGTTTCCGACGATGGTTTTATGCTTAGTTTGGTTTATTTTGGCAAAATTCTTTAGAAGTAGTGAAGAATATATGAATTCAATTGAAACATAAGGCAGTACACGGCTTGACGAACGCCGAACATTTAGATCAGAAAAGTTCACGACTGGTTTAATTAAATAAATAAATTAAAAAGATAAATCGTACATACCTTCAGTGTTGTCGGTACAGAATAGAATAAAAGCCGTTACCAATCTGTAGTACCAAAGTAATGGTATTTTAAGTTCTGAAATGAAACAAAAATTTGAAAACTAAAGTAAATAACTGAAATTTTCAATTAGTGAGTAACATTGACTTCCTATAAATTAGAAATATACATCTTTAAAACTAATTCATTGTATGAAAATTTAATTGAATGTTCATTTCTGCGCTATTATTCCATGAATACCTCAGGGAAGGTTTGTTAGTGCTCTTGATGATTCTAGAAATGAAGAACTTAAGTGATTCCATCTTATAACAATTATTTCATAATTACTAGGTCCCATTAGATGGGCTTTGCAATTAAAATTGACTAATTATTTGAATCCTCAACACATGAATGCTGCATGGAAAGTTTTATGATAGCTGACACGCGTACGGTGGTTCATAAGAAGAAAACGAAGAAAGGTTAACAAATGAGACTAACGCAATAAATAATTGACAAACTTTGATCTCAGAAGCTCACTTGAGCCTTTAGTTCACTCGGGTTAATGATTTCTACAACATCAAACAAACAATTTCTTCTATATTGCATGAAGAAAACCTGATTGTGGTAAGGTATTGGAAAGACACTTTTGATGCGTTCTATACTTGCTCTTAATGAGCTATTCCTTTTTTCATGGCAAGGGCACCTATAGAACATCCCCTCGCAAAGAGCATCTAAAAATCAAGACAGCATTCGACAACCATCCCGAAGCAAAATACATCACTTCCGTTCCGTACAGAACTTTACTACGAACAAACACACACACGATTGCGTTACTACTAGGTATATCCCCTGCAACTCTCAGGCTAAGGGATAACATAATTCTGACAATCGGATCACACTCGCCCTTTTCCGTGGCCTTTATTTGCAGTTACGGAAATGATTGAGTAGCTATAATTGTTGTATAGGATTTCTCTCCTTCCCTTCTTTTGAGGGAAATGGTGTAAATTCCTTAGGTTTTTTCTATTTTCATTGAAAGTCCAAAAGAAATTCTTATGCAAATGATATAAAGGCATACATATATAAAACTGAAATATCTATCATCATTATTAATTTCATCATTATTAATTCATGCCTCAAATTTCTTTGAAAAAAAAATCAAATTAATCTTCGAACAACCCAGACCAAAATAATTATAATATCTCGATCAGCAAGTGATCTTTGAGAAAAAAAGTAAATGTCTCCATAATAATATATCATAAATTCGCTAATATGTTCTTGAGCTACCGGGATAAGTAAAATGAATTCCAAAGTTAATCTTGATGAATTATTAATAAGAAACAGAAGGATGAACGGTGGGAACAAGAATTTCAGTGAAAGACGAATGACCTATATAAAAACATGCAGGTGGGGGAAAAAATCACACACGTCATACAAGCTAAAAAGAATTCTTCCCTGCAGTGGCAAAATCATGCTTTTACTTGACAAAAATTTTACTTCGCATACATTCATGCTTTTATAGTTCAAATCAGTAAAATTTCAGTATTGTGAAAGTATTCTCGACTGAATTGTTCTACAAAAAGTTCATTTTTTTTATTTGGCAGAGGGAGGGGCCACAATAAGGAATAATTGTCGTTCACTTTATACCATTTCTGGGCTTGTTATGAATTGCAATTTCTTATGGCAGAATTATTTCCAATCGGTGGCTTTTGCAAATAAGAATGTCTTTCATTGAACTTTTGCATGATCAAGTTAGTTAGGCAAATTAGATGGTTTTTAGCAAAATAAAACATTTTTTATTAGATAAACCATCCTTTGCTATTAGTCTCTTTGTATCCATCAAGTGAATTGTCCATATCCTTTTCAAAGATTTTCAAAGAAAGCAGCTGTCTCGATAATCATTAGTTTATCTGCAGCAAATTTATCAATAAATGTTTTAGGGGCGAACTTATGTCCAATTTCTCTAGGCTATCAAGCACAAAACACGCAATATTCGATTATGGTCATAGTTTATATATAGGTTGTACAGATATAAGCGGCCTCACTTCTCTCTGTAACAAACCAATTGACTCGGAAGTATAGTCTGACAGTGATATACGTGTATATGTCATCCGATGAAGAAATCTAACACCCACATAATATATACATTTTAGTTTTATTCAAAATTCGTAATAAGAAATACGACTGTTGTATATTAGTAAGTAAAAAATCTAGTAATTTATTTATTTAATTTGCAGTTTTCACACAGAAATTATGAAACCGAAATCAATATATGACCAATAATACTACACAGGGCACTGGATGGTTACGATGATTGCATATTATTAGGTTGGCTGAAGGTTAAACTTACCGCATAACCAGCTGTCCAACATTAATTTTATATGCACAGTAAATATAGAAATAATTTTAAAAGCATATGTAATCAACGCTTTTTTTTTATTCTAACGTTTCATGTTGAATTTATGTTAAAGTTATAATTCTACACTAAACAAAATTGGAATTATTTTGATTAATATTATTTTTTGGCTTTATTAAGTATTTGAAAAGTTTAAAGCCCATGAGTACATTCTGTACTTTGATTTTCTATTGTATATCCTGCTCCATATTTTGAATATTTCTAATTTATTCTCTTTGTCTAGAGTTTGACAACATTTTTCACTCCCATTTACCCTTCCTATAATATCATAAACAATGTGTATTTACACGCAAATGGTATGGGGGCTGCCCCTCCCCCTTTTTCAAAACATTTATTTTTTTTAAATTGGATCCTTCCCTCAAAAACTACTGACATAAACTCTGAGGAAGTGATTTGTTTCTTTGATTTCACCCAAACTGTAGAATGCGCGTTTCGGTTGGCATGGAAGTCCAAGCAAACTGGCACTGTAACTCGTCAATTTCAAGGTTAATTCGCATACCAAAAATTCATGTCAATAAATGCCACTTGTAAAGATATAGAGAAAAAAGGCGGGAAGAGGGGAACAGACGGACGGACAGGAAACTTACAGTCGGCTCTAGTTTCATCGGTGGGGGACTAATAAATGTCTAATAAATCTAGATGCTTATCTGATTGATGTCTCGTAAAAATTGCAAGAATGATGCTTATCGAATTAGATATCGGCATCTTCAGCTAACTTTTCTGTAGATCCCGTAGCTCTTACACGTAGATCTTTCAACCATATACATGTAACTAAACATGCATTTTTTTCTTTTCCACTTTTCTACTTCCCATAAGATTTATGGGAAGTAAAATGGAAAAAAAGTCAATTCTTTTCTTCTTGGTGTAGTCTTTCAAGACATCGTATATTTATCACAAAACACATTCGAAAGATTTTATTTTTATGAATTTAATTACGCGAGATCTACTCGAAAAAAATTAATTCTCGCGTATATTTGTTTTATCAAATTTTATATATTCTCTCATGAAAATTAAGTGTCGGAAAAAACGGGAATATATTATTATTAATCTACTGATTTGATAAAATTAATTCGATTTTATTATGAAATTAACAGGGACTTGTAGGTAGTTCCATCTGAATCATATGAAGAAATTGTACAAGATCTGAACAAAGATTGGTTATTTCCAAATCTCACATGAAACCAGGAATTAAAAATTCAAATTGAAGACATGCTAGTATTCCCTAAATTTTAATGATAGCTATCTATATATATACGTAGAAAACCGGTATGATGCAACAATAAGATCTATAATTTTTCCCCCTATTTTTTTTTCCAACTGAACCCCATCGCCAGGTCACAATTTATAATTTTTATCAAATCAGTTCAGTCAGATTCAGATCCTATAAATGCATGACATCAAACACAGGGAAACTTAATCTAATATCCCTAAAAAACAGGCACTGGATTTACATGCTTATTTAATTTGCATATTATTAACGTTCTGGGAAATTTCATACCACAACTAAACAAATTGAAGCATTAGCAATGTGTGTCTTTTTCATTAGAAATACATGCACTTACATCATATTAAATTTCATTTCTTTTCATATCAAGCTTCAAGATAATTTTCATTTTTTTGGGGGGGGGGGGGGGGGGAGTTGTTGAATTTTTAAAAATAAATATAGCACATTTTAAAATTGAAGTCCACATCAGTAAGGTATAGAATGTGCCAGATACCAATAGATGGAATCATTAAAACGAGAAAAGGAAACATTTGTAAACTTAAAAAGAAAATACTAGTTTTACTGACATTATCCCTATCGGAGATCCATTATTTGGATCTTAAAAGATTATTGGAGTGTCTCAATATTTTCATTTCAAAAAAATCGCCGAAAGTTTAATGCCGAAACTTAAGACAAGAGTTGCTTTATAACGAGAAGCACAGTAGAATAATAAGGTACAAGATTGAATAAAAATGTACATGTCCATGGGTTTATGTAGACCATTGAATCCAATTTTAGACCCGAACCCCCGCTCTAACCTGCTTGATTTATGTTTATTGAGAATGGTTTTGGCATGGATTGGCTGATGGTCGCAAAATCATATCAAAGCAGACCATTATTCTTAATCTCTTCAACTCTTCGTGGAATGAATTTGGCTGCATGTTGCCTATGAACTTTTAAAAAGGTGTTTAAAGCTTAGCTGTTGCTTATGGTGAGGGATTATTTCATTATAGATTGACGCAAGGTCATTTTTCAAAGGTCAAAGTCATCGAAAAATGTCTGGGTTAAAATTCTGGAAGGCTTGGTAAAAATAAATTTAAAATTTAAAGAGATGCTGTTAGCTCATATATTTGTTTCACTATCTAGGTTCAAGGTCAAATATTTGAGGTCAAGGTCACGGGACAATTTTATAGATATATGATATCATATGTACATATGATAAAATTCAGCTATTTTTAAATTAATTAGGGCATTCAAGTGGATATTAAAATTCTATAGGTTCAAAATTCTAATATAGTAAAATATTTTTAATCAATTTTATGACTAATGAGTACATTAATACATCTGACTGAAATTAAAAGGCATATGAGTATTTGAATTCAATCCATGTCAGTTTGGTTTTTAAGAATAGGATATAAGTTTTGATGGCTCTGGATGGCATCACATGGGTTTAGCTTAGACTTGTTACTTCGCGATTTCTATATGTATAATATTTAAAAAAAAAAACTATGCAGGGGGATAGCTTCGGAATTAGTTATAAATATATAAGGAGGGAAAGTGGAACCATTCTTCATTAAAAAAAAAATAGAGGAACAGTTAATTTTCAGTGGTAATCATCTTCTCTAGGGGTGGTGAAAATTTGATCAAAGAATCACACGAATTAGTTTAATGAGCTGTGCTTCATAATATTAACGTCCAGTGTAAACATAATTCTAGTCACTATACATCAAATTCTCCTACAGGACAAAACAAATTCCCTGGATAACCCTATTTTCTATCCAATTGAAAATATCGATTGTAAACAGATGCAAAATGAGGTTTTTCGGGTTCCTCATTTTACGTCAACAAAGCGTTCTTAAATATTTGATACGGTTCATTTTGGTGTTGCATACAGGCGCATTAGCTATAACTAGTTACTTCCTTGGGAGAAACTTTATTGATAAATTGATTAGGGAATATATAACAAAGAGATGATAATTTTCTCTAGATCATGAAACTTTCACATAGCTTAACGCTCTCTCTCTCTCTCTCTCTCTCTCTCTCTCTCTCTCTCTCTCTCTCTCTCCTTACCCATTAGTAAGATATATCCCATTTATCATAGAAGTCACATTGAAAAATTATCGTCGCCGTTTTCTACAGTGCGGTAATCAGTCTTAGATAACACAAAATAAAAAATCACACAATTAAATACTGAAAAGTTGCTGGCACTAAAAAATGAATTCAACAGTAAAATAACAATTACACATCCCCTCATCAGAAGCACGGCTCATATGATCCAGCTTTCATCTCAATAAGTTCAGTTTGGCGTTGTGTGTAGTTCTTAATGGTTTGTGACATGCAACGCTTCTCCGTCGAGGAGTTCAGTATGTAATTTTAGGATGCGTCTGATCGCTTGCCACTCGCTGTGCTAAATATTTTTTTTCAGTAAGTTGGGGGCTTTTTTTTTCTCGTCCTCTGTAACCGAGACAATGTGTGTGACACATGCGGGAGGCAACTTTAGTTCCGACAGGTAGGAGTCAGAGAGGGTCATGTCCATCCTCCATCCCCACCCCCAATAATCAGTCAGTACACTAGTATTTCATGCAATAGAGAAAATCAATGTTAATTCACAATAGACTGTTTTAGTATTGTATAGAAAGACCAGTGGTAAATTGTGGTTATTTCCTTCTTGTAAAGGAATTTCTTCAGCTCGATTGTGCCCCCCCCCCCCCACTCCACACCCATCCCCACCCAAAAAAAGGCATTGCTTCCTACGGACCTACATCTATTTCATAACTATGAAAAAACACCGCATAGTGTAGTAATGAATAAAACATGTAACAGTTTCTTTCTTGTTTAATAATTACTTTGCAATTCCGTTCTTTGCATTCTTTTCTTGCAGTTGCATATGTGATAAAAAAAAATTCGGTACAAGAAATGTGTGGCTTTGTCTGGAAGTGACATTATCCAGAAAAGAACATGCTAGACAAAGACCAGACTTAATCAATAGCTTTGAATGGACCATAAACAAATACCCCCGACAAAAGTGGAAAACATTTATTAAGGATGACAAAAACACGCACCCCGAAAAAATTTCCTCGTCAGATTTTCGATTTTCTTTCTTTTTGCAACACAAGTGGAAAAACTTTATTAAGGATGTCCAAAAAACGCACCCCGAAAAATCTCTTCGTCAGATTTTTCGTTCTTTTTTTCTTTTTTTTTCACAAGTGGACAAAATTCATTTAAGGATGTCCAAAACACACACTCCGAAAAAAAATCTCGTCAGATTTTCGTTCTTCTTTTTTTCTTTTTTTCAACACAAGTGGAAGAAATTCATTAAGGATGTCCAAAACAAACACTCCAAAAAACATTCCCTTCGTCAGATTTTCGTCCCCCCCCCCTCTCTCTCTCTCTCCAGATATGTATTCTAGACATAAAAGTAGAAATCATATTTATTATATTTTTTGGCAAAATATTACTTGCAGCATTTCACAAGTTAATTCCCCCAGGTTAAACGTTGTGAGTAGCAAAAAATTTTACCAGAGAAATAAAATTAATAACATAATTCAAAATCAGTTTAAGATATGCTTGGTTAATTTGGTTTCTGGTTCATTTGACTACGGACACTTCAAATAAATGTTAATAGACATGAATGGAATTTGCAATTATAAAAAGAGACGATATTTTACTCAAGGGGGAGAAATTGAAAATAGGTCGATTGTACAAGTACTGATCTCATGGGATAAAAAATACCCATAAAACCGATTACAAAAAGCATGCGATATAATTTTGATTTGATTACATCCTCAAAATAAAATGACAGAGAAAAATGTATTGTCCTAAAATCCTTATGAATTACCAATCCACTTTTTGTTGTGGGAGTAAGACCCAATTTTTATCCGTTTGGAAGTATTAAAGATCACTGCTTTTGTATTAAGATTATTGAGCTGTAAATATTATTCATGTATGTGGAAGATTTCTCGCATTTGTTTGAGCGATGGACTACCTTAAAAAATCGACAATTTCACAAAACAGTCCTTCTTTCTCTTTATCATGCCGCCCATTTATGAAATGTACTTGCGGTTGACCATAAGATTATCAAGAGGCCCCTGGACCATAATGGTCACCTGAGTATAATACAATATTGTATTAAGTAGATGAAAACTATAGTTAACGAATTGTTAACAGTTTGTACACTATAGTTTACAGACGATAAACCTAGTTAATCGACTGTGAAACTACCATATAAGTGGAAATTTTTGCGAGACGCAAATTTAGCGATTTGTCCTTAAAAAGTGGTAATTTATTTTTAGCGCGATGTTATTTTTTAGCGATTTTAAAATGCAAATTAAAAAAGCTATTACAAATAAAACGCAATTAATTTTTAGCGATATTCAATTTTAGCGATCTCGGCACCCTCGCTAATAATGCCAAAATTAAATCCTCGCTAAAAATTCTTCTTATACAGTATGTTTAGCTCGTTTTTTGTGGATTTCGCGTGCCATAGGTCAGGGATCAATATATATTTTTTTAAATATTCATTTTAGCACTAAGTAACGAATCTTACATTAGATCTATTAACTTGTCTGTAATTGCCCCATTTGTCACTAAACAATTCTGACAAAATACAAGTGTTATAATCCAATCTCCTTTCTTTGAAACTGGCCGCTCGTGATCTTTAACGAACGTACACAGAATTTTTTTTTTTATTTATCTATTATTTACAAATCTATCTGACCATTTACAACTATAAATTTGCGTTTTAAATTACAAATCATAATAATAAATCTTGTAATATTCTCTTATTTAATTGACCTTTCAATTCCTTCCAATAACTTGCAGTTATTTATTATCTTGGGTGAATAGCAAAGGGGAGTAACTTCTCTCAGTAGCTTACAAATGAAGAGGCCTGGCCAGCGCCAGAACACATGACCAAGTGGTCAAGAATTTAAAAAAAAATGGTAAAAAATACCTTTGCTTATAACAACTTTGTATCCTTCAATGCCAAGGAGAAGGGAACAGAATTTTCAAATAAATTAATGCATTTTCACTGTTAAATCAATATAGACCCCGTCTTAGCACCAGAGGCCCTAATCTAAAATTCGAACGTGGTAAAACACGGATCAAATGTTTTGTACCACAGTCAGCCGTTTGAATATGGGTTTAATTAAGATGGAATGTGGGAAATAAGCATTTTATAGTACTCACATATGTACATACTTGCGATTAAGGCATCTGCAAAGACTTGTATAAAGTAGTACTATAGTACATGTATTCTGGTATCATACCATAAAATAGTTTGAAAATCAAGATGTGGGTTCAAAAGGCGGAAAGAACACACACACTCTCAAACACATTCTTGTGTTTCATTCACAATCAGTCGTTTAAGTCTCGGTTGAATTAAGCGACCATATTGAAATGTGACAATTAATAAACACATATCCAAACCATCGTCAAACATTGTATGCATTGCTTAATAACCGCAAGAAGCGATCTTCAGAGGTGTATTTTATAAGGCGCCGTTTTGTTATTTGTCATTCAGATATCGCCAATTCAATTATCTGATGCACTGCAATGCACGTTTTTAATAATATTTCAAGTTTGTCCAAATGATACGGAAATGCTATCTGTAATCTTCCTACTGGGTTTCAATAAAGGTTTTTTTTTTCATTTCTTTATTCGGATTTCAGGAAGACTGAAAAAAAAAACATTACACAAAGTATTTGAATAGATCTCTTTGTCGCTCGTATACAAAGGATGTATTCGCTTTAACAAAAGAATTGACCTATAGGAGAGAACAATTTCCCGGAAAAAGTGACATTTACAAAATAAATCTTTATTTGTTGTTTTTAACCGTATATATGTCTAAATTTTTTAAATTTGTATTTTCTACCTAAAATTTATTATTTACAACTTTACAATAAACCTCCAAAGTTGATCGAAACACCATTTTGTCCTTTAAAGCGTTGATTTTTGCATGAATGTTGGCCTTGAAGTCCATCAGGGCAGGCCTGCCCCTAAATAAAATTGTGATATTTTGATAGGTTAGGATGTAAGGAATAATTTAAGATAAGATTTTTTTAGGGGCACCCCTGCCCTGGGGTCGAAATTCACAAAAAACCTACAAAAAATAAGGAAACCAGATTTTCGTAATCTGCTTTAAATTTATGCCGTTCTTTTTTATAGTCAGACTAGCTCAGCTGATATGTGCGTTAACTTTTTATACTTTGGATACTCTCTTTTTAAAGTCGGGGGTTCGAATCCACCTGGCACAAAACTTATAAAGTTTTAAATTTCGCCTTTTCAAAGACTATTTTAATTTTTTTTATAGACTTGTGTATTTTTCCTTCAATTTTCTGTCACTTATGCATGCCCATTCTTGATAAAAGAAACACTAAAGAGTAAAGAGATATCAAATCGTAACAATCCAATGTACAGTTGTCAGTCAGGTGGAACGAACCTCAGTGTAAGCACACTTTCTCCGAGGACAAGAATAACTCACTGTGTGTTACTCAATACGGGTATTCTTGGCAGCTGCGATAAGTTTCAATTGTATACATTCCTTAGAATTTAATCACATTGATTTTGGCTACATATTTCAGCGAATGCACTCCCTTGGATTTCATTTAGGCCTTTATAATTTGCACACATTAATGATTAGGTTTTTATTTTATCCACGGATAAATAGCCTAGACATAAAGAATAGAATTTCAGAGACAGTAGAAATTACCTTTATGCACAATGAGAAGTAAAGATATTATCAATTATTATACTTCTGTTAGAATGTTTTCTATATAAAGTTCAGAAGGTAAAATAGCTATCTTTTATAGTTCAGGCATAGCAAAGCTATACCCTGGGGTATAGTTTTTGCTATCCACCCTCAGAAAATTTTCATGCAATTTTTGCCTCCAATTTTGATTTCCAGCGATAAATCTATTGACTGATGATGTCATAATGATTTCAGTAGCATTGTGACGTCATCAGGATTTCAGATTATTCTTGCATTATCATCTTACTCCCAAAAAATTCAAACCATAGAAATTATGTTATACATCAGTATAATAAAACGCTTATCCACTGGTTGTGAGTGGGATAGCTCTTTTATCAAACCCTTGACTGGGACTATTCCCCTCGGGCAAGCCCTCGGGAAATAGTTCCCTGTCGCGGGTTTGATAAAAGAGCTATCCTACTCACAACCAGTGGATAAGTGTATATTATTACATTTGGAGATAACAAACTCAGAAAATCAATAAAAAGGGATCCTCCTATCTCTACTCACTGAAATAAAGATTTAGGAAAAACAAATTGTTATATGTATTCAGCCTAATGTCATTAATCAGAACGGAAATCGACCAGCTTTTTTGTAGAGAAAAAAACCAAGCCCGGTCCTATAGGTCAGATCCCTATTTATAATGAAGTGATCCTTTCGTCAGCTACAACTTGTCTTTAAATATAGTAT